TTTTCAAAGTTCAAAAGAGGTGTCTTTTCAGGGAAAACTGAGGATTAATCTTTTGTTATTATGCTAATATTAGGTTGATGCAAAAGTCTTTTTCATTTTTTCGTACTTCTTTTGAAAAATAACAAAGTCATGAATTAACCTATGGTTTGCTCTAAATGAAAAGTGTTTATTGTTGAATTTCCCATCTTTTTAAGTCAATTTGGGTTCACTTTCAAGCAAATTCGAGAGTGAAAACGGGTTTTTCATAAAAATCTATAAAAACCTCTATAAAGAAATTGGCTGAATGAATTTCTCTGAAAATCTGAAAAAATATCGAACTTTTTGTGCTCTATCTTTTATTTATTAACATCAAGATTGGTTTCCTTAGCTAAAGCGTCTAAAATGCATCATCGAGCCGTCGCCTTTTTTGACTACCCGACTTCAGGCTCTCAAAAAATCTAGACATAAGACATTTTAAACTCGTTTTAATGTCATTTTGCAGAAAAATAATTGGCCTTTCGAATGCAATAAACCGTTGTTCAATTGGTGCATTTGTTACTTTTTAACGGAAGTACGAAAAAAATGAAAAAGACTTTTGCATCAACCTAATATATATGCTTTATTCAGCGAGCGAATAGAAACAAATCCGATAATCATAAACGCATCTAATATATTGTTATAATAATTTCCTAAAAAGAGAAAAGAAAAGAAAAAACTGAAAATAGTACAGGAAACAATTGGTAGAAAAAGCTTTAAAGATAGAGCAGATTTGAAATTTGCAATCACATCTAATTCATTTACAGATACAGTCGAACCTCTCTATAACGTAACTCACGGGACGGCTATAGCTTACGTTATATAGAGGTTTACGTTATATAGAGTGCCGTTTTATATAGCGTATAACGTCGGCCGGGACCGGTCACGCCTTACGTTATAGAGAGGTTTACGTTATATCGAGGTTCGTTATAGAGAGGTTCGACTGTACTTTAAATTTTCCTATAAACCGGAAGATCCCACGGGAACTGATTTCAAACCCTTATTAATTATTCTTTTCTCTAGTTTATCGCTAGTTTTAGCTTCTTGGAAGAAAAAGAAGGAAAAGGGAAGAAAAGGTACTTCAAAACATGTTTTTTTTCTCGAATTCAAACTCAAACAGCTAATTGTTTACAGTTAAATGGGGTAAATAGCGTCACGAGTACACTATTACATGTAAAAACTCTATTGGCAGTATAATTTTTTTTGATCTGTTTTCGCACTCAGGTGTTCCTATTTGCGCAGATCACAACCTGCTTTCACATTTCTCGATCCCTTGCCATTGTCATCCAGTGTTTCCCATCTTGGTTGTTCGTGGTTCGAAGTCTTCGACTTGCTGGTGCTGGTGCTGGTTGCACTCTAGCCATCCTTTCTCTGACCGCCTCTGCCACTCTTGTGCTCCACCTCGTTGCTGGTCTTCCGATGGGCCTCTTCTGGTCTCGTGGTAGCCACTCTGTGATCCGTATCGTCCATCTGTCGTCTGTTCTTCTGGCTACGTGGCCGGCCCATCTGATCCCATCGGCCATTTCTCTCGATCACTTCCACTGGATCTCTGAGTCCCGAGAGCTCCACCTCGTTGCTGGTCTTCCGATGGGCCTCTTCTGGTCTCGTGGTAGCCACTCTGTGATCCGTATCGTCCATCTGTCGTCTGTTCTTCTGGCTACGTGGCCGGCCCATCTGAGTCTTTTTCTCTCAATCACTTCCACTGGATCTCTGAGTTCCGAGAGCTGGCGCATATCCGTACTTTGGCAGTATAATATAATATAATTAATATAATTAATATAAAATAATTAATATAATTAATATAATTAATATAATATAATTAATATAATTAATATAATTAATATAATTAATATAATATAATTAATATAATTAATATAATTAATATAATTAATATAATATAATTAATATAATTAATATAATTAATATAATATAATTAATATAATTAATATAATTAATAGAATATAATATAATTAATATAATATAATTATTAGGTTGGCAACTTAATAATGACGCGTCACTACTTAACATGTTTTTTGTAATTTCAAGCGCCGTTTCTTCCCTCTTTTTTGCATATATACAAAGTAAAAGATGTCTACATAAATAACATTTAGTGCTCCAAATTTCATCATTTGCTTTTTGGCAAAAAAAGGAGGACAAAAAATTCCGCATTGTTCTACGATTGTTCTACGATTTTAAACAAGGAAAATCACCAGCTGAATCTCATCGCACGATCATCACTGTTTTTCGAGAGGAAAGTATACACATTCGTCAATGTCAACGATGGTTTCAAAGATTCCAAGGCGGCGATGAAAGCCTCGTAGACGAGCCACACCAAGGACATCCTCCAGAAGTGGTCGACGATGACTTGCTCGCCTTAATTGAAGATTGCCCAACACTCACCGTTCGTGAGTTGGCAGAAATATTTGAAGTATCCCATATGACAATCAAAAACTATTTACACAAACTTGGGAAAAGAATCGAGTTGAAAAATGGGCTCCTCACGAGCTGACCCAGAGCAACAAAATGTCGCCTCAATTTTGCTACAAAAATACAAATCAAACGACTTTTTCACAGGGTTTTGACTTCTGACGAAACGTGGATCAACTACGAGAACGTTAAACGCAAAAATCGATGGCTATCTGCTGGGCAGACCCCTCAAACCACTCCCAAACCTGATGTCCATGGGAAGAAGATAATGCTCTGTTGCTGGTGGAACTTCAAGGGATTGGTACATTATGAAGTGCTGAAACCTGGCCAAACCGTCGATGCTGATCTTTATTCGAAGCAATTAATGAGAGTTAACGAGTCTCTGAAGAAATTGGGGCTCAAACCGGAGAGAGTCAGATTTTTACACGACAACGCAAAACCTCACACTGCAAAGATCACTTATAAGAAAATCGAGGAACTTGGCTGGAAAGTTTTGCCCCACGCGTCTTATTCACCTGATCTGGCTCCTTCAGATTACTTTTTGTTTCGGTCGGTGAAGCACTTTTTGGAGGGAGAAAAGTTCGATGATCATGTTCAGGTCATAAAAGCAGTGAATGACTACTTCGCCTCAAAAACTCCCAAGTTCTTCGAGGATGGGATCCGGGATTTGCGCAGAAGATGGGAAGGAGTCATAGATACTAATGGAGAATACCTTTCGAATTGAAAGCTCTTCTTTTGTGTTTTTTTGAAATAAATGATTTGTTACATAAACGCGTCATTATTAAGTTGCCAACCTAATAATATAATATAATATAATTAATAGAATATAATATAATCCGTATGATTATCCGTCTTGTTCTTAAATTTCACTCATAGAGAACCCAGTCAATTGCAGGTAGTCAATTTCTTTTTAAAAAACCCCGCATTTGAGTTCCCTTTATGAATTATTGATTTTAATGAATTAAGCAAAAAGACTAAAGAATAAATCTTGTGAAAAATAATAAAATTTCACTTTTACTTTCAAAATAGAATTGCTTAAGTTGTTAAAAGTTTAATTGTTAATGTTAAAAGTTTAATTTTAGACTTTAAACCTTTCTTTTATGATCTTTTTTACCCAAGGGAAATGAGAAAATGCATTTTTTTTTCCTCACCCAATTTCAACTAAAGCAAAGATAATTGAAAAATTCGAAAAAAATGATTGAAAATTTTCCTCGCCGTGATTGCCTGTATTAGTTATTTTCAGTTTTAAACCTATTTTAGTTACAATTTAAAAAAACGACTTCAGAAAAAGAGTTTTTCAGCTATTTCTTGAGCTTTTCAACTTTTAAGTGATGACTTTTAAACTAAAAAATACTTTTTTTTTTGAATACCGTATTCTTTCTAATAGTACTGGACCCAGCCGAGCCGAGTTGATGACTATTTTACAGTTACCAAGCTTTTGCAGAAGCTCAACACTCTAATCCCTCACTAGATCTCATGGTCAGCTACATTTTTCGACCCCAAATCGATAGGTTCTGATAAGCGTTTCTCGAGATTTCGAGGAATTTAGGCAGAGCTTAGGGCGCACGAATATTAGAGAGAATACGGTAATTTGGCCAAATATAACGTTCACGTCATATCCCGTATTCTCTCTAATAGTATTGGACCCAGTCGATCCGAGTTAATGACTATTTTACAGTTACCAAGCTTTTGCAGAAGCTCAACACTCTAATCCCTCACTAGATCTCATCGTCAGCTACATTTTTCGACCCCAAATCGATAGGTTCTGATAAGCGGTTCTCGAGATTTCGAGGAATTTAGGCAGAGCTTAGGGTGCACGAATATTAGAGAGAATACGGGACTTGGCCAGCTGGCCGATTGGTTAACGAGTTTTGTCTCTTAAGCGGAAGGTCGAGGGTTCAATCACGCTGGCAAGAGAAGGCAAGATCACAAGATCACAAGATCACAAGATCACTTTAGCAACCAACTAGATCTTATCGTCAGCTACATTTTCTGACCCCACTTCCATCTCAATTCTATTGATTCAATGCATATACCGTAATCTCTCTAATAGTAGTGGACCCAGCCGAGTTAATGACTATTTTCCGGTTTCAAAGCTTTCGCAGAAGCTCAGCACTCTAACCCTTCACTAGATCTCATCGTCAGCTACATTTTTCGACCCCACATCGATAGGTTCTGATAAGCGGTTCTCGAGATTTCGAGGAATTTAGGCAGAGCTTACGGTGCACGAATATTAGAGAGAATACGGTAATTTGGTCAAATATAATAATAAAATATTGCATTACATAGTCTAAATATGTTTTTTGTAGTTTAACATCATCATTCTTAATATTTGTGACTTTTTTTCCAAGCCAATTTCCATATAGGTCATCAATTAAAGTAAGTGGATAAAAATGACAAGAATTTGATTGATTCTTGTGACTTTTGTTCTGGCAAATTTACACATCTGAAATGGAAACTGTTTTTTGAAAGTTTAAATACCTAAATGTAGTAAAAGATAGGGAAATTTGCTTGGGAAATGTGACAAATACTCGACTCTTCAGCACACACCTCCATCGATGGACCTCCAACCGAGATCCCCGTCATTACTAACTCCAAACCGCTCACCAACCGATTCACCATTTCCCGGAAGACGGTTTGTTTTAATGAAAGCTAATTTATGATTTTTTTACTCTACTATTTTTGAATTGCTAGTAATACATAATTTATTAGAATCAAAAAGATGGGAAATTGAAACAATAGACATTTAGAGTAAAGCATAGGGTAATTGATGAATTTTTTTTTTAGTTTTTTGTTATTTCCACAACCTAAGTGTGAAAAGGAAGGAAAAGGAATGAAAAGGAATGAAAAGGAATGAAAAGGAATTAAAAGGAATGAAAAGGAATGAAAAGGAATGAAAAGGAATTAAAAGGAATGAAAAGGAATGAAAAGGAATTAAAAGGAATGAAAAGGAATGAAAAGGAATTAAAAGGAATTAAAAGGAATTAAAAGACTTATTCAAAAACCCAATATTTCCCCATAAAACCCACCAGCATATGTTTTGTTTTTTTTTTGAGTTTGACTTTTACTTTCAAATCGGGATGACTAGAAAAATGTGTAGAAACAAGTGCGCGAGGAAAGGTGCGCGAGGAAACAAGTGCGCGAGGAAAGATGCGCGAGGAAACAAGTGCGCGAGGAAAGATGCGTGAGGAAACAAGTGCGCGAGGAAAGATGCGTGAGGAAACAAGTGCGTGAGGAAACAAGTGCGCGAGGAAAGGTGCGCGAGGAAACGAGTGCGCGAGGAAAGGTGCGCGAGGAAACAAGTGCGCGAGGAAAGATGCGTGAGGAAACAAGTGCGCGAGGAAAGATGCGTGAGGAAACAAGTGCGCGAGGAAAGATGCGTGAGGAAACAAGTGCGTGAGGGAAACAAGTGCGCGAGGAAAGGTGCGCGAGGAAACGAGTGCGCGAGGAAAGGTGCGCGAGGAAACAAGTGCGCGAGGAAAGATGCGTGAGGAAACAAGTGCGCGAGGAAAGATGCGTGAGGAAACAAGTGCGCGAGGAAAGATGCGTGAGGAAACAAGTGCGCGAGGAAAGATGCGTGAGGAAACAAGTGCGCTAGGGAAGGTGTGTTTTCAAATTCGCTGTTTTGTAGTGTGTTATGATATCAGATTTTTGATTCGAATCTACCAAAAGTTTTCATTTTTTCAATCAATAAATTATGACTTTTATATACAGTAGATTTGTTGCTTTTTTTTCGAAAGCAACTTCCGATTGTCGAGATGAAATTAGGGATCAAAATCCATCAAAATCCATCAAAAACCTAGCAACTAAACCGCTTAAACGGCTTTTTTTTTTGCGAGGATTTAGTGGATTTTCACAAAGCCAGAAAGAAAGTTGGAATGTGAGAAGTTGGAAAATGAAAGTTTTTTTTTGCAGAAATGATGAATGAATGCAGAAATGAGTTCAGTAATTTGCAGATCACTCCCTCAAACGCCCACGCAACGACTCAGGAGATCTTTACCTTCAACGCCAAGGTGAAAACGGGAAAAAAACAAAAAACAAAAATCGGATCAATTGCAAAAGTTGAAAAGTGATTCAGAAACGGTAATGGGACAAGGTTTAGAGTTTTTTTTGGACGCTTTTTCGACCAGGGAATATTTCAGATGCAATTTGATTTTGAGGTTAAGGATCTGGTCAAGGGAAACCCGAAACTGCTTTCAAATTCTATCATAAGCCATTCTTATCATAAGCCATCATAAGCCATTCTTATCATCAGTTTATAGACCTTTAAAGTTCAAAGTCGCTAAACAGCAAGCTAGCCTACTTAAGGCCTTTATGCGAGCTTGTCGGGGTTCCTCGATAGCCTAGTGATTAGTGTGTTGGCGCGAGCGGGTCGTCGGATCCTGGTTGGGATCCTGGTTGGGATCCTGGTTGGGATCCTGGTTGGGATCCTGGTTGGGATCCTGGTTGGGATCCTGGTTGGGATCCTGGTTGGGATCCTGGTTGGGATCCTGGTTGGGATCCTGGTTGGGATCCTGGTTGGGATCCTGGTTGGGATCCTGGTTGGGATCCTGGTTGGGATCCTGGTTGGGATCCTGGTTGGGATCCTGGTTGGGATCCTGGTTGGGATCCTGGTTGGGATCCTGGTTGGGATCCTGGTTGGGATCCTGGTTGGGATCCTGGTTGGGATCCTGGTTGGGATCCTGGTTGGGATCCTGGTTGGGATCCTGGTTGGGATCCTGGTTGGGATCCTGGTTGGGATCCTGGTTGGGATTCTGGTTCGGATTCTGGTTCGGATTCTGGTTCGGATTCTGGTTCGGATTCTGGTTCGGATTCTGGTTCGGATTCTGGTTCGGATTCTGGTTCGGATTCTGGTTCGGATTCTGGTTCGGATTCTGGTTCGGATTCTGGTTCGGATTCTGGTTCGGATTCTGGTTCGGATCCACTATCGGTGAATTTTGTTTTTGTTTTTAGAAAAACACTTGAAAACTACTTTTTTTGATTAGCTACTGATGCCCAATGATTGAATATTTTAGACTCGATTGTAGACTTATCTAAGCTAGCTTGCTGTTTAGTGAAATTGGCAAAACTTTGTCTTATATCTAGAAAATGGAAAAATTAGACAGATCTCTTTTATGTCAATTTATGTGAACATAACTATGTAAATTAGTTAACTCATGGCTTTCATAACCGCTTTTTTACATCTAAATAATGTTATTTAAGAGATTACTGAGAAAAAAAAGTCATTTTCAAGTGTTTTTCTAAAAAACTGATCGATCTGGATCGTGGACAGTGGAACGAAACAACGAAACAACGAAAACGACGTACTAAACCACTATTCACTAAGCTATCCACGCACAATGATTGGCTTGCGGCAAAGCTTTAAGTAAGCTAGCTTGCTGTTGAGTGAAATTGATTAAAACATTGAATTTGTCTAATGATATGCTTTGAATTGAAAGCATTTGAATAGGATTTGAAAGCAGCTTCGAGATGTTTTTCGGTGAATCTCCGAATCAGATCTTTTCTGGAATGTAACTTTAGAAATCTGATCTGATTTGGGGTTAGATTTTATAAATTATCTCCTTTAGAAGCGCGTCTCCCCGTCCGATCCCCGCACAGTTGGCCCATTTGGACGGAGTCTTCCCGCCAGCGTCAAGTAGTGGAGCATCGAGTAAAGCGTCGAGGTTTGCTCAATAAAGTTTACTAATTAAACGTTTATCAAATTGATTATTGTGTTGTAAAGACAATAAAAATAATTCAAAAAAGATTTTGAGTCATTTTGTCAAAGTATTTTTGAGTCGAAATCGGTCCTAGTTTTAAGGCGTATTCCCAGCGAAATTCGATTTTTGTTTTGAACGCTTATAAGCCATTCTCAGCGCTCGCTACCGGTTTGACCGCTTGACGGTTTGACGCTACCGGTTAGTGTTCTTGACTAAGTGACCAACCGTCGAGGTTTCGGATCCTACTCTTTCTCACCTGGCCTTCGCTTTTTTCTTTTTTATTAGATTTTTAAAGAAGCTTGAAGTTAAGGTCTTTTTTTGAAGTTAAGGTCCTTACCGATATGTCCAATTATTACCCTTTCATTAACGAAAGCTAACGAAAAAAAAGCAAATCATTTGATTAATACCTTCTCATCGTTCTACGTTTTTAGAAATCGTTGAAAATTGCAAAACTGATAGTATAATTTTCGTAATACTTTTTAAAGAACTTGTGATCTATAGATATAGAACATTGAAATCAAAAAAACTATTTTCTTAAATATCTTTCAAGCACAATAAAACGTCAACTAGAAGCTTTTTTCTTCGGAATTCATTATTATGTATGATAGAGAGGTTTAAAAGCAAAAAAAAGGATATAAAGAAGGGGTAGAAAAGACGAAAAACTTAATAAAAGGTGACAAAGGTGAGAAAAGAAAGAAAGAAAGAAAAAACTCCATAAATACCCGAAAACAAAACCGTTAATGAACTTTGCATAGCTGAAGCTGCATAGCTGAAGCTGCATAGCTGAAGCTGCATAGCTGAAGCTGCATAGCTGAAGCTGCATAGCTGAAGCTGCATAGCTGAAGCTGCATAGCTGAAGCTGCATAGCTGAAGCTGCATAGCTGAAGCTGCATAGCTGAAGCTGCATAGCTGAAGCTGCATAGCTGAAGCTGCATAGCTGAAGTTGCATAGCTGAAGTTGCATAGCTGAAGTTGCATAGCTGAAGATCTTTACTGATTGTTATCGAGCGAGAGATTGTTATTCTAGTCTAGACAAAAACTACGGTAGAATTCTGATCGATATTCTGTTCTATGGTAATTCTGATCGATAAAAACGTTCCATCATATTGCATTTTTGACTCTCAAACGTATTTTTTGACAATTTTGCATAGTTTTTCCAGGAGTTTTAGGGTTTTCACGGGGTTTTTCTTCATTCTTCCTTCTTCATTTCTTCTCTTTTCTTCTATTTTCTTCCTTTTTCCCTTTTCTTCCTAGTTCCCTTTTCTTCCTTCTTCTCAATCCTTGTACAGGAGACTGAAACGCGTCGATTGATCTACAAATAGTCGTGGTTCTAGGAAATCACTTTTGTGATTCTGACCCGAATGCCCCTTTAAATGATAAGCCATTTCTTGAGCTAGTTAAACAAATTACTCTCTAATATTAGGTTGATGCATAAGTCTTTTCGTTTTTTTCGTACTTCTGTTAAAAAGTAACAAATTCACCAATTAATCTATAGTTTGCTCTATAAAAAAAGTGTTTTTTTGTTCAATTTGCATCTTTTTAAATGAATTTCGGTTCACTTTGAAGCAAATTCGAGAGTGAAAAACGCCTTTTTCGTAAAAATCTATAAAAAACTCTACGGAAAAATTGGCTGAATGAATTTCTCTGAAATTTTGGCGAAATATCAAACGTTTTTTTTCTCTATCTTTTATCTATTGACACGAAGATAGGTTTTCTTTAGCTAAGGTGTCTAAACCGCATCATCGAGTTAGCCCTTTTTGACTACCCGACTTCATTTTGACTTTTTGACTACCCGACTCGTTGGGTGAATCCTAGCGAGTTGCCAAAGCCGGATCACTTCGGTTTCTCGAGGGCGCAAGATCACTTGCATACGACTTGATCGCTGGTCAAGGTGTTGTACTCAGTAGAGCAGTATAGCTGCGATCTGTTGAGGCTCTGCCTATGATTGGTTGGTTTGTTTAGTCGTTAGCTGTTTCAACGTTTCGCGTTCTTCGCTTCTCTCACGGGTGCTTCGCGTTCTTCGCGCCACGCAAAATCACGCGGAACATACTAGCCTTACGTACTAGCCCGTACTAGCCAACGTACTAGCCCGTACTAGCCAAACTTTTTCTTCTCTATCTTTTATCTATTGACACGAAGATAGGTTTTCTTTAGCTAAGGTGTCTAAACCGCATCATCGAGTTAGCCCTTTTTGACTACCCGACTTCATACTCTCAAGAAAATCCAGGCATATTTTTAAACCCGTTTTAATGTTATTTTGCAGAAAAATAATTGCCTTTTCTAATGAAATCAACCGTAGTTTAATTGGTGCATTTGTTGGCTTGAAACGGCAGACGAAAAGGAACAAAAACACTTATGCATCAACCAATTATATTTACGGTATCATTTATCTAACCCCAAACAGTTTTCTTTCAAGATTTCTCAAAATTTCTTAAAAGTTTCAATTCTTTTCTCTTCAAAATCTTCAAAATCAAAATCAAAATCGAATTCCATTGAACAAATGATCTTTATTCTTTTCTTAAAAAGAAAATTCAATTAATTTATGAAAAGTGATAGATTTTCCCTAAATTTCCCCAACAAACACCTGGGAATTTAAGTTTTTTTTTCAGATTTTCAACGATCTCAGGTGAATTGGCTTAATTAACTCCAAAAAAAAACAAATTTAACTAAGTTTTCTCAAATATTACTTCAAAATTAGCTGTCATTCACAGAGTTTTCCACTTAGAAATTAGAAAAACGGCTTTTTTAGAAAAACAGCTTTTTCATCTTTCTTTTTCAATTTTTTAACTCTTTTTTTCAAAAATTTCCCCACAGAAATTAGAGAAAAGTAGTTCAAAAATAAAATTTTTTTGACTTTTACTGATTTTTTGAGAAACCGACTTATAAAAACCCTTTTTTTTTCGCACCTAACCACTTGTCATCTTGGCTCAACCGGGTAGCCGCTCGTCTCTCATGTGAGACCTCGAGGTTTCGACCCCTGCCACTGCTTTTCAGTTTTGACTTTTTGCAAATTACACAGATACTCCGTAAATTCTCCTTCAAGTTTAAGTTGAGCTTCTCTTTCAAATTTAATTTTCTATCCCAAATCCTCTCTAGACTTAAACAAACAACAAAAGTAGGTGGAAAATGAATTTTTTTGACTTTTACTGATTTTTTGAGAAGCCGGCTTATAAAAACCCTTTTTTTTCGCCCTTAACCACTTGTCATCTTGGCTCAACCGGTTAGCCGCTCGTCTCTCGTGTGAGACCTCGAGGTTTCGACCCCTGCCACTGCTTTTCAGTTTTGACTTTTTGCAAATTACACAGATACTCCGTGAATTCTCCTTCAAGTTTAAGTTGAGCTTCTCTTTCAAGTTTAGTTCAAGGGAAATCGGGTTTTTGATCCCAAATCCTCTCTAGACTTAAATAAACAAGAAAATGTCACCATTTTCTCTCAAATAACGCATGAATACTCAAAGATTTCTTTGAAAAGACAAGGAGATCATGTGTTGGATAAAAAGGGCATCAATGAGTCTCTTGGGGATTGGGAGGAGACAAAGGACAATGGGAAATGGGTACCCAACTCATCCACCAGCCCATTTGACACCAAATTTAGGAGACTTTTTCGTCTTTTCAATGTTCTGCTTCTTGATTTGAAGAGCTTTTGAGAACAAAAGCTCACAATTAGATTAGAAAACTAAATCTTGATTTAGTTTTCAAATTCTTGTGCTCAATGGTGCTTTGCGTTTAAGGAAGATTTTAAAGCTTCAAAAAACTATGACTAATCTAAAACTAGCTAAAAAACTAGCTATGACTGAATCTTTCCAGACTTGACACTAACATTGAAATGATATCAGTTTTAACATTTCTTTTTTTAAACAAATTCACGACCATACCATTCTAATGACGTTTTTTCTTGTGTTAACTCAACTTTTGATCGACTTTTGTTTATAAATTTTGCAGAAATTTCTCGATAATTTTATATTAGTTTTCAAGAGGAGATTCAGGGCTATCAAATGATTGTAATAGTTTAGTTTTTCTTTAAATCATCATTAACTTATGAGTAAAATAGTTATCGACTACGTGACTGTACGCTCAAATAGGATTGCGTGGTTAAAACTCGAATAGATTAAAAGAAGAAGTTTAGTTTATCTTGATTAAACTTAAATTCATAGTTAAGAACAGGTTATGAAAGGAAAGTGCAAGTGAAAATTGATCTGAAGTAAAGTAAAGTAAAGTAAAGTAAAGTAAAGTAAAGTAAAGTAAAGTAAAGTAAAGTAAAGTAAAGTAAAGTAAAGTAAAGTAAAGTAAAGTAAAGTAAAGTAAAGTAAAGTAAAGTGAAGTAAAGTAAAGTAAAGTAAAGTAAAGTAAAGTGAAGTAAAGTAAAGTAAAGTAAGAAATGGAAAAGATTTCCAGAGACGGGATTGAACCCTCGTCCTTTTTTTTCTCGTTCCGGCCAGATCCTCTAACCACTAAGCCTTCCAGTACTTGCTAAAGAAGAAAAACAAAATACAAAAGGGAAGAGAAAGAAAGTAAGTACTTGAGTTGAACTTTCACTCTTCAAAAACTCATAATAATGCTGTGAAAATGATTTGGGACAGAAAAACTTGGAAAAACTTGGCTTTAAACGGCTTTAAACGACTTTAACCTGCTTCTTTTCGCATATAAACTATCTTTTTTAAATCCAATCACTTGAATTCTTATAAAATTTAAACATTTAAACCAAAAATTTAGCTGATTTCATGCATTTGCAAGGCTTGTAATTTAATCGTAAGCCTTGTAAGGCTTGTAATTTAATCGTAAACCTTGTAAAGCTTGTAATTTAATCGTAAGCCTTGCAAGGCTTGTAATTTAATCGTAAGCCTTGTAAAGCTTGTAATTTAATCGTAAGCCTAAGCCAGTGTATGTAAAAAAATCTACATGAAGTGATAAGCCAAATAAACTTGTTTTCCCAGAAATTCAATACTTTTCTTCATCCTATCAACAAAATCATTTCTTTTTCTTCTAAATCGTCATCGATTTCACATGGATATCCGATAACTTTCTCTTTCAAATTACCCTGTTCTCTTTGTTAGTTCTCCTTTTTCTCTCACACCCACCCCGATTCTTTCGCTTTTGTTTAACGAACTTTGCTAGATTCTATCGAAAACATATTCTTGTACTTAAAATTTGATCTTTTTTTTCTTATTCTACAATCGAGCTAAAGTACTGTGGTTCTTCTAATTCAAAGAATTTTCTTGAAAACGGTATGCAGGACTAAATTAAGAAGTTAAATAAGCTAATAGAAGCTAATAAAAGCTAAATAAAGCTAAATGAAGCGAATAGAAGCTAAATGAAGCTAATAGAAGCTAGTAGAAGCAAATAGAAGTTAGATGATGCTAAATGAAGCTAAATGAAGCTAAATGAAGCTATAAGAAAGCTAATAGAAGCTAGTAGAAGCGAATAGAAGCTAAAGAAGCTAAATGAAGCTATAATAAACCTAATAGAAGCTAGTAGAAGCGAATAGAAGCTAAAGAAGCTAAATGAAGCTAATAGAAGCTAGTAGAAGCAAATAGAAGTTAGATGATGCTAAATGAAGCTAAATGAAGCTAAATGAAGCTATAAGAAAGCTAATAGAAGCTAGTAGAAGCGAATAGAAGCTAAAGAAGCTAAATGAAGCTATAATAAACCTAATAGAAGCTAGTAGAAGCGAATAGAAGTTAGATGAAGCTAATAGAAGCTAATAAAAGCTAAATGAAGCTAGTAGAAGCGAATAGAAGTTAGATGAAGCTCAATGAAGCTAATAGAAGCGAATAGAAGCTAAATAAAGCTAATAAAAGCAAATAAAAGCGAATAGAAGCTAAATAAAGCTAATAAAAGCGAATAGACGCCAAATGAAGCTCTAATAAAGCTAAATGAAGCTAAATGAAGCTAATAGAAGCTAGTAGAAGCAAATAGAAGTTAGATGATGCTAAATGAAGCTAAATGAAGCTAAATGAAGCTATAATAAACCTAATAGAAGCTAGTAGAAGCGAATAGAAGTTAGATGAAGCTCAATGAAGCTAATAGAAGCGAATAGAAGCTAAATAAAGCTAATAAAAGCAAATAAAAGCGAATAGAAGATAAATAAAGCTAATAAAAGCGAATAGACGCCAAATGAAGCTCTAATAAAGCTAATAGAAGCTGAAAAAAGCTAAATAAAGCTTGTAAGCTAAATGAACATTTCAAAAGTGAACATTTTCTATTAGCAATTCACATTATCACGTTCGTTTTGCACTTCTGAAATTTTCAGCTGTGAGGCCTCACCCCGTCAGCGTTCCCCAAGGCGACGACAGTTAGCCTCGTGAGTTTTTGGACAGTTACATTAGATTTTAGCTTTAATTTCCCATTGTGGTGCAAGTGTTTAGAACAATATTATTTCGCAGAAAGCTAAATTTTCCTTTATTGACATTGAAAAATCGAAAAAAATCGATTCAAAGCCCCGAAAATTCTCTTCTTTTTGCTTTCCAATTCTTCCCGAAATTGGATAAGAACATTATTCGATTTCCGAACGCAATTTTAGGTAAAATTTCAAAAAAACGAAATCAATCAGCATTCTGAATATTTTCTCTGAAATTTCGTCTGAAAATCATTTTTTTAAAAACTTTAAAAATGAAGTATGCAGTGATTAATTTTCCGTGGCTTTCTCTGAGTGCTAGTTCTCCGTCACTAGTTAGTACTAGTGACGAGGATTGTTTACAATCCTAGGCCTTGTCCCGATTCAAGGCCTAGAGTGTGTTCCTCTAGTAAAGCGCTTTCAAAGTTTTGAGAAAACTAGTAGTTTTACGTAAAAATTAGACTAATCTGATAAAAAAAGTGATAAATTTTCCGTGGCTTTCTTGAATTATTCAAGCTTAAAATTGACTTTTACATAAGAAATTAGGACTTAGAAATGTTTTAAAAATGCAACTAATGATAGAATTTAGTCGAAGAGCTCCGGTGGCGATGCGCGATAGCGGTTTCGTCGAATCGTCGTCAACTCAGGACGCCGAAGAAGAGGATACAATGGGACAATTGAGGAGTTTTGATATGACTAAAGGTGAGTCGTTAGAAGATATTGTGATGCTAAGGCCTATAGTTAGTACTAGTGACGAGGATTGTTTACAATACTAGGCCTTGTCCCGATCCTCTAGTAAAGCGCTTTCAAAATTTTGAGAAAACTAGTAGTTTTACGTAAAAATTAGACTAATCTGATAAAAAAATAACGGTTTGACTACGGTACTTTTCTTAAATAGATGCATTTTTTGAATAGAATCGAGTTGAAAAGATTCGATTTGGGTCCAAAAACGAGATCTAATACCGTATTCTCTCTAATAGTAGTGCAACCAGCCGAGCCAACTTGATGACTATTTTACAGTTACCAAGCTTTTGCAGAAGCTCAACACTCTAATCCCTCACTAGATCTCATCGTCAGCTACATTTTCCGACCCCACATCGATAGGTTCTGATAAGCGCTTTTCGAGATTTCGAGGAGTTTAGGCAGAGCTTAAGATGCACTATACTATTCTCATACGGCGATTTGGTCAAATATAACGTTCACTTCATATACCGTATTCTCTCTAATGTGCACTACTATTAGAGAAAATACGGTAGATGACGAAGATATTTAATGGACACGGAAAGGTTCTGATATCCTGATTTAATGGACAAGGGAAGGTTGAGCCGGTCAAATGTTAGGCAACCTATACTATTCGACGCAGAATCTTATGCTCATTACCGTAATATACCGTATTTGCTCTAATAGTAGTGCACCCAGGCGAGGCGAGTTGGTGACTATTTTATGGCTTCCAAAGTTTTCACAGAAGCTCTACACTCTAATCCACCACTAGATCTCATCGTCAGCTACATTTTCCGACCCCACATCGATAGGTTCTGATAAGCGCTTTTCGAGATTTCGAGGAGTTTAGGCAAAGCGCAATACAACTAGGCCATTTTACACTTCACGATTATCGTTTATCTTTTCGAATGTCGTATTGACCTTCTTTATTAAATTGTTGAACTTTTTCTCATAGCCAAATTTCAAGCCAATTTTTTAGGTGGCCTCATTGATCGCGGTTTTCAAACGCGTCCCCCGCAACCAATTGTGCCAAATTTGTTGGCAAGACGAGGTTTGAAATCAAAAAAACAGCTGAATAATTTATTTTTTATAAAATTAGCAAAAAATTTGTTTCTTTCAGCGGAATCTCGACGCGCCACTTGCCCCGAAATTTGGCTTTTCCCTGAAACGTCGAAACCTTTGAAGAGAGTGGTTTTGAGGTAAGAATTTTTCTAATTTCTTATAAATCAATTGAATGCACTAGGTGGTGTGCGTTCACTGGTGATCACAAAGTACACCAAAAATCTATTACAGAGTTTATGGAAGTGTTTGTGTGGGGAAAAAGACTCTGTGCTCACAAATTCATCATCATGCGGCGAATGCCACGCCGGAGTCGGTCAATATTTTGTGTCAGTTTTCTACAATATAAAGGAACTATATAGGAACCAAATAGGAACCAAATAGGAACTAAATAGGAACTATACAGTAACCAAAAAGGAACTTTAAAGGAACTTTAAAGGAACTATGTAGGATCCAAAGAGGAACTAAATAGGAACTATACAGGGTGCGTCATAATTATTGCAACAAGGGTTCAAAGACCGTTTTCCAAACAGCTTTCTTATTTTTTTTGCCTCCTTTTTTGTTGTGTTGCATTCTATCTTCTTTATTCTTGCCTAATTGCCTCCCGCTCACACGAAGAAGACGGTTGAGGACTGGTGTGTGGCCAACTTTCCCTCAGTGATCACCAAGGATGAATGGCCTCCAAACTCACCGGATCTCAATGTGATGGACTTTTCCATTTGGGCAATCTTAGAGGCTAATGTCTGCTCTTTGACCTTGAAGAAGTCTTTGACCTTGAAGAAGTCTTTGGCCTTGAAGAAGTCTTTGACCTTGAAGAAGTCTTTGACCTTGAAGAAGTCTTTGACCAAAGGATGGAAGGCGACTCCTCAAGATGACATTCGGACCGGAGTGGAGGCATATCCGAACCGATTAAGGGCTGTTATCAAGGCAAAAGGCGATCATATCGAATGATCTCTTGTTTCCTTATTTGTTACTGTTAAATAAAGCTATTTCTGTTTAAAAATCTTCTTCCAGTGAAACTTCTTGGTGTGCAATGCCTTGAGTATCTTGTTGCAATAATTATGACGCACCCTGTACAGTAACCAAAAAGGAACTTTAAAGGAACTATATAGGAACAAGAGATCATTCGATATAGGATCCAAATAGGAACTAAATAAGAACTATACGGCAACCAAATGGGGATTAAATAGGAACTATAAAGTAACTAAATAGTAACTACTATAAACGATTTGTTTAATGATTTCAAAACCTTTAAAAGCTTTCTTTTAGCCACTGAATGCGAAGAAAGCGGGCAATCAAGAAGTATAAATTTTCTGCTGAATGGAGAGGAAGTTCAGCTAGAGATTCTCTTGGAATCAGCGTTAGAGGTGCGTTTGGAAATCAAATTTTGATTCAATGTAGGGAATTTGTGGGAAAAATAGATCCAAATTCATTTAAGGCAGAATTTCGGCAAAGTTTCTCGCAGAATCTCCGCTATATTATCCGAAATTGAGTGAATGATCGTTCTGATTTCTCTGGAGGGAAATTTTTCAGACAGTCTGTCTCGCTCTCGCTGTCTCTTCGATTTTTTGACTACTCAAAGCTTTTTCGAGCATGAAAACTAGTTCCTCCGCAAGCCCTGATTTTAGGCTTTATTTTGATACTAAACATGGCTAGATTCTTTTTTATCATTCTTTAGATTTCGATCAATCTTTCGCCGGATTCGTTCGGGTCCAGGAAAAATTTTTGATTTAAAATGAAGTCGAAATCTAAAGAATGATAAAACAGAATCTAGCCATGTTTAGTATAAAAATGAAGCCGAAAATCAGGGCTTGCGGAAGAACTAGTTTTCATGCTCGAAAAAGCCTTGAGTAGTCAAAAAATCGAAGACAAAGCAAGAGCGAGACAGACTGTCTGCAAAATTTCCCTCCAGAAAAATTAGAACGATCATTCACTCAATTAGAACGATCATTCACTAATTAAATGTTTGCAAATTTTGAACGAGTACCGTAAATACTTTAATAGTACTCCACCCCCATAATGACGGTGCGGAGTGTTGCGTAGTCTAGCTTTGAACGAGTTTTTCTCGACACTGGTTTATGCTACAATGTTCGTTTAGGTATCAAAAAATAGCTGAAATTCAGGGCTATTTTTTGATACCAAAGACGCATTTTTTGAAAGTACGGGCGCTTTGAAAAAAATGAATTACTAACTTTGCGACTGTACGAAAAACTTTTGCGACTACGCGACTGTACGAGGGGGGTGCGGTACTATTACAGTATTTACGGTAATAGTTTAAACATTACCATATCTGTTTCCTTTTCCAGACTTCCCCCTTCTCTCCTCATATCACGATGTTCATGGTTGTTTACTCGGTAACTTCTCGTGAAAGTTTCACAACAGCCGCTAATTTATTATATCGAATATTTCAGGTTATCTAAATAGATAAGATTTTCTTTTAAAATCCAAGTTTAGCATCGAAAAAATACGCCCGTTCCTGTGATTTTAGTTGGGAATAAAATGGATTTGAAACGAAAGAAACTCGTTGGAACGATTGGTAAAATTTTTAGAAAATATCTAGTATTTACTTGTGTTTAAAAAGCTTAAAAGCTTGAAAGCTTGAAAGCTTCAGGCTTAAAATCTAAAAGCTTAAAAGCTTAAAAGCTAAAAAGCTAAAAGCTTAAAAGCTTAAAAGCTAAAAGCTTAAAAGCTTAAAAGCTAAAAAGCTAAAAGCTTAAAAGCTAAAAAGCTAAAAGCTTAAAAGCTTGAAAGCTAAAAAGCTAAAAGCTTAAAAGCTTAAAAGCTAAAAAGCTAAAAGCTTAAAAGCTTGAAAGCTAAAAAGCTAAAAGCTTAAAAGCTTGAAAGCTTAAAAGCTAAAAGCAGAAAGCTAAAAGCTTAAAATCTAAAAGCTTATTTCTCAAATCAATTTTTCAGAAGGTCGAATGCTTGCCAAGATCTACAAGTGCGCTTTTGTGGAATTGTCGGCGCTAATGGCGATGAATGTGGACACGATGTGGAAAGAGATTCTCACACAGGTTTCGCATCCGATATTTTGATAGGATTTCAATAGGATTTTGATAGAATTTCGATAGGATTACTGTATAAAGGATAAACTTTAGAAAGCGAATAGAACTGCTTAGCTGTAGAAAAATTTATAAAGAAATCCTTTTGGAGTCAAGACTTTAATCCATCGTTGACTTTAATCTCGCTTCAACTCGACTTGAATCTGCTTGAATCAACGTGCTCAGTCATTCTTTTTAATTTTTAACTCCCCAAGTTCAACTCTAATTTGTTAAATGTTAAATAAAATATTAAAGCTGATGAAAGGTCAACCACTAGAAGAAGTCACCCCCTACACCTACCTCGGAAGAAGCATCAACATGGAGGGAGACCTAAGACCAGAAGTTGCCAGAAGAAGACGAGCTGCCTGGACAGCACTAGGAAGCATCAAAGAAGTCATAAAGATGCTCAAGAATCACCAGAGAACTCGGGCACACCTCTTCGACAGCATCGTCCTCCCGGCACTCTGCTACGGGACAGAGACCTGGGCCACGACACAGACCACTGAACGAGCCCTGAGAATGACGCATCGAGCCCTTGAAAGGAACTTCCTCGGGTACAATAGGAAGACGCAGCTCGATCAAGACCTAAGAAGTACGGATATGCGCCAGCTCTCGGGACTCAGAGATCCAGTGGAAGTGATTGAGAGAAAAAGACTCAGATGGGCCGGCCACGTAGCCAGAAGAACAGACGACAGATGGACGATACGGATCACAGAGTGGCTACCACGAGACCAGAAGAGGCTCATCGGAAGACCAGCAACGAGGTGGAGCACAATAGTGGCAGAGGCGGTCAGAGAAAGGATGGCTAGAGTGCAACCAGCACCAGCACCAGCAAGTCGAAAACTTCGAACCACGAACAACCAAGATGGGAAACACTGGATGACAATAGCAAGGGATCGAGAAATGTGAAAGCAGGTTGTGATCTGCGCAAATAGGAACACCTGAGTGCGAAAAAAGATAAAAAAAAATATTAAAGCTGATAATCCTGGCTACACTTATCTCTTAAAAGTTTCCCCATTTCAGATGTACAAATCATTTTACAAGGTTCTGAATTGAACTAGTGCGTCATAATTGTCACAACAAGAGAAATTTTTGCTTTTCAAGCAGACACGAGCCAAAAAAAAAAAGACAAATTTTTAACTGAACTTAACTGACTAACATTTCAAAAAATTCGACTTAAACTTGTGAAGCTAATCTACTAAAAAGGAAATGAACGAGCTAATCTACTAAAAAGAAGTCGCCCGAGAAAACGAAACACCTTTTTTTTGTGTCAGTAAATGTCAACCCGTTAAACTTGATCATTTACAGATTCGCGGTGTTGAGGCTGATAGCCGGAGTCTTCTTGAACGACTCGTTGATCGGGGTCGATCAATTGCGCGGAGTTGCGAGGAGATCGTTCATCGCATTCGTCGCGGTGGCGATGGGCTGAGTGATTTGAGGGAAATGAACGAGCCAAAAGAGGAGGATGGCCAAGAGAAACAAGTGAACGAGTGAAAAGACTTTTCATTTAAACGATTTTTGATTTAATTCAACTCAATTCGATCGACTCTTTCACATTTCAAACTTTACGAAATTCTGTTTTTATTGGGTTGTTCAGTTATGAATGCGCGTTTTTTACTATTTTGTAAATTTCTCAAGATAGCGAAATCAAGAAAAAGATATATATGAGTATTATTCGAAAGCTGAAGATCTCCTCTACATTTTGATATAGAGTTTTTCAATTTGTTCAGCTTTTGGGCAAATTGACTGAGGTGGCCAAAAAATGGATGGGTGCCTTTGGATCAAGACCTTTTCTCTACAATTTGGTTCCTTTTCTATAAAGATTTGGTTCCTTTTCTATAAAGATTTGGTTCCTTTTCTCTACAATTTGGTTCTTTTTCTCTACAGATTTGGTTCTTTTTCTATAAAGATTTGGTTCCTTTTCTCTACAGATTTGGTTCCTTTTGTATAAAGATTTGGTTCCTTTTCTCTACAATTTGGTTCCTTTTCTATAAAGATTTGGTTCCTTTTCTCTACAATTCGGTTCCTTTTCTCTACAAAATGGAAGGGTGCCTTTGGATCAAGACCTTTTCTCTACAATTCGGTTCCTTTTCTCTACAGATTTGGTTCCTTTTCTCTACAATTCGGTTCCTTTTCTCTACAAAATGGAAGGGTGCCTTTGGATCAAGTTTTGGCTCCGCTCAAATTGAGTTAACCGTTTGATGTTTGGCCAATAGATATATCAATACAACTTTTAAAAAAATATAACAATTTCAGAGCATCTTTGCTTTTCTTTTCTTTTCTGAGCGGTTATTTTACACCATAAAACTTGGGGAATAGCTAAGCTGGAAATTTTTTTTTTTCGAAAACCACCTCTCCCTTTGTGCAGTCAATTTCCCAAAAAGTTCAATGAATTCAAAAACTTTTTTATTCCAAAATATAGAGGAGATTTTCAGCTTTCGAATGATATATAACACTCATAAACATCTGTTCGATATCTTGAGAAATTTACAAAATAGTAAAAACGAGTTTGAATCCTCGTTTTTCTTTTGCATCTTTTTTTTTGTCTTTTACGGCTTTTATCGGGTTCTAAAAAACTTTTCTTCTTTTTAAAAATGTCTTTTTGAATTGCTTTATCTTCTTTTTTTTGTATAAAGATTATTCTTTTTTAACAGAAAATATTTAAAATCAGTTAAGCCTAGGTTTTTGCAGATCTCCTTTACCTTTTAGTGTACTTTATACTCGAGTATACTTGTTATTTAGTCTACTTTATGCTCAACTAAACGCATTCCATTTGGCACACTTCTTAATTCTTTGTTTTCTCATTTTTTCTTACTAAATATAGAGAAGCAAGATGATTTTGTAAATTTTTCAGAAAATAAAATAATCGATCGATTGATTACGATAGTTTATTAGCATTTGGATAAGATTTGCATTTGGATAATAAGTTAGCATTCCGAGTTCCGATGCAAATTTGACAACAACTCGTGCATACGGTAAAGAAGCAGTGCAGCGAGAGCACGAGTCTCGATTCGTTCGGCTTCAACAGCAGGCAAATGCCGTGAATCCTATCAAATTGAGCAACGGATTTCATGATCATTCGCATGTTTTCCATGTCATAAACCACGCCGCGAGTGTCGCCGATCCCGGGTGTGTCGATGACGTTGAAAGCTACCGAATCAGTAACAAAACGATAGACTTTCGGCGATTGTGTGCACAATGAGAAATTAGTTTTAGCATTTCGATAAGATTTAGGATAAGATTTGTATTTGGATAATGAGTTAGCGTTTGGATAATAAGTTTTTTAATTTAATAACAATGAGAAATTAGTTTTATTTGCATGAAACAAGAGAAAAATTGAAACAAAAAAACAATCAGAATACAAGTGTTTCACAAGTGAAGCGAAAAGATCACAAAGTGTCGGACTTTTTCTTTCCAAAAAACTAAATGCCATATTCTCTCTAATAGTAGTGGACTTGGTCGAGTTGATGACTATTTTACAGTTACCAAGCTTTTGCAGAAGCTCAACACTCTAATCCCCCACAAGATCTCATCGTCAGCTACATTTTCCGACCCCAAATCGATAGGTTCTGATAAGCGGTTCTCGAGATTTCGAGGAATTTAGGCAGAGCTTAAGATGCACTATACTATTCTCATACGGCGATTTGGTCAAATATAACGTTCACTTCATATACCGTATTCTCTCTAATGTGCACTACTATTAGAGAAAATACGGTAGATGACGAAGATATTTAATGGACACGGAAAGGTTCTGATATCCTGATTTAATGGACAAGGGAAGGTTGAGCCGGTCAAATGTTAGGCAACCTATACTATTCGACGCAGAATCTTATGCTCATTACCGTAATATACCGTATTTGCTCTAATAGTAGTGCACCCAGGCGAGGCGAGTTGGTGACTATTTTATGGCTTCCAAAGTTTTCACAGAAGCTCTACACTCTAATCCACCACTAGATCTCATCGTCAGCTACATTTTCCGACCCCACATCGATAGGTTCTGATAAGCGCTTTTCGAGATTTCGAGGAGTTTAGGCAAAGCGTAATGCAACTAGCAACTAGGCCATTTTACACTTCACGATTATCGTTTATCTTTTCGACAGTCGTATTGACCTTCTTTATTAAATTGTTGAACTTTTTCTCATTCGGTTGACAAGGGAAGGTTGAGCCGGTCAAATGTTAGGCAACCTATACTATTCGACGCAGAATCTTATGCTCATTCTAAATATACCGTATTTGCTCTAATAGTAGTGCATCCAGCCGAGTTGATGACTATTTTACAGTTTCCAATTTTTCCCAGAAACACAACACTCTAATCTCCCACTAGATCTCATCGTCAGCTATATTTTCCGACCCCATTTTCGAATAGGTTCTGATAAGCGGTTCTCGAGATCTCGAGGAATTCAGGCAAAGCTTAAGATGCACTATTAGAGAGAATATCTAAATCAAAATACAGCAAAATAAATCACAAAGAATTTGCAGAAAATTTGCACTAGCATATGTCAAAAAACAAAGCGATTATTGTTAGAATTTATAAAAATTTGCAAAAACCTTTTTACAATGATGCCTCGATGAGAAGCCAGTGCTTTCCGACGGGAAAATCGGGCTGAAAATGGGCAACTTGAAAAGTGCAAAATGCAAAAACTCAACCAAAGCCCGAATCGGGTACTGATTTTGTCTAAATGATGGTAAATTTAGATTCTAGATTAAATGTAAATTTGCTAGCATTTCCCGCGCATCTATGGTACTGATTTTTCCCTCAAAATTCCTCTCAACTTTTCCTGTTGACCATCACCATTTAGAGGGAAATTCCTTGCGATAAACGTTTCCCGTGGGAAATGTGATAATGCGCGGGAAATGCTAGCAAATGCTAGCAAATTTGCATTTAATCTAGAATTTAAATTTTCATTTTCTACAAGGTGCTCAAAACTTACAGGGAAAATACTGAAAGCTAAAAGAATTTGGCAGAAATTGTTTTAGCTTTTAGAAAGAATTACCCCACGAATGTCAGCATTAAATTAGGTTTCCCTTGCTTTCCTTACTTACTTACCTTCCTTACTTACTTACCTTCCTTACTTACTTACCTTCCTTACTTACTTACCTTCCTTACTTACTTACCTTCCTTACTTACTTACCTTCCTTACTTACTTACCTTCCTTACTTACTTACCTTCCTTACTTACTTTCCTTCCTTACTTACTTTCCTTCCTTACTTACTTTCCTTCCTTACTTACTTTCCTTCCTTACTTACTTTCCTTCCTTACTTACTTTCCTTCCTTACTTACTTTCCTTACTTACTTTCCTTCCTTACTTACTTTCCTTCCTTCCTTACTTACTTTCCTTACTTACTTACTTTCCTTCCTTACTTACTTTCCTTCCTTACTTACTTTCCTTCCTTACTTACTTTCCGTTTCCCAGAAAATAAGCTTTTCTAATCAAAAAAAAGCGTAGTTTTATTGATTGATTTGTTGATTTTAAATTGATAATACGAAAAGAAGTGAAAAGAGTTTTTTTTAAAAGAAAGCATCGAAAACTGAAGATTGTATGCTTTTTTTTTCTATCGTAATCCATTTTTCTCATTAACTTTAACCAATAAAAAACTTTGTTTGAAACTCCAAAAGTTCTTGGTTTCTCAAAAAAAATTTGATTCTCAGTTTAAAAAGAAACGAAAAGACTTTCTCAAGCCAAAGATTTTAAGCGTAATTTCAGCGATAAGATTAAGTGAATCGTATAGCAAAGTCTAGACCATTTAATCATTTATATTTTTACTTTATTACTATTATTTATTGTTTTTCTTGTTAAATAAAAGCATTTTTTTAAAATTCCCACCTTTTCGTGTACTTTCAGATACTCGGATTGTGCTTCGTGCGCCTCTTTTGTCACCTCTTTGATTGAAATGTTCTTGAAGCCAGCATCGGTAAGCGTCTAGAAATCATTGACTTATTCTATGCCCATATTAGGACTCAATATTATTTGATCAGGTTTGACAAGGCTGGAGGCAGAGGTCGAGCTTAGCTTTACTACAAGTCTAAAGGCTAAAGCCTGAAGGCTGAAGGCTAAAGCCTGAAGTCTGAAGTCTGAAGTCTGAAGGCAGAAGGCTGAAGCCTGAAGTCTGAAGCCTGAAGGTTGAAGCCTGAAGGCTAAAGTCTGAAGTCTGATGACTGAAGCCTGAAGCCTGAAGCCTGAAGGCTAAAGCTACAACTCTGACTCCATACCTGAAGCTGCTAGAAGCCAGTCGAAAAAGCCTGACCAGAGTACCCTGCCTTGTCTGGGTCAATATCTTTACTTTCATTTTCACTCACCTTTCTCACACTCTTCTCATCAACCTCTTCAACCGGCTCCAAGAGAACGGCGCGCGCCTCGGGGTGCAGGATTGACTGAAAATTTCTCATACAATCTTTAGTGGGATACTATAATTTTTGCTAAACTTACCGTCAGCTCTTTGATCTCTTCGACAGAGTTGGTCGCGAGCAGCTCGGTGGCGACAAGACTGTTGAATTCACCCTGTCGTTGCCTCCAATAATCCACCGACGATGAGAGGGTCTCGTTCCAGCCAAAACGGACTCTAAAGCAACTTTTTGTATATCACTGAGACTTTCAGTAGCTCGAAATTCACTGAAACTAAAGCTCATGGTGCTTCTTGAAAACTTTAGCTGCAACTGTAGACTCAGCTGCAGACTGTAGACTCAGCTTACCTCTGGTCTCTCAAGGTGTTGGCCTTGGTGATTGAGGTGCGATAGAACCAGGGGTTCACCTCAACATTCCACACATTGCAGGTGAATTTCTGAAAAGCTTTAGATTTCGGTTAAAGCAAATTTTCAAACCTCTGCCAGAAGATGACTGTTGACATGGGTGAATGGGCTGATCTTTCGTGGAGTGTAGACGAAAACCGTTGATTGTTGAGCGACAACAGTTGGATTGATGGCCGGGGCGAGGATCTGGAAAAACGAAATATTGCTTAAAATCGTTCACCCAAAAAAGAATAATTCTTTGCTTTGCTTGCTTTTTGTCAATAGATAGCTCTATCTTCATTCATTTTCTAAGGCCTTAGACACCTTTGATTGCTTTTTGTCAATAGATAGCTTTATCTTCATTCATTTTCTAAGGCCTTAGACACCTTTGATTGCTTTTTGTCACTAGATAGCTCTATCTTCATCCATTTTCTAAAGCCTTAGCTTAGCTTAGCTAAATTCAGTCAGAAATCAGCTATTTTCAGTCAGAATTTGCTAAACAGCCAATGAAATCTCGTGCAAAAGTTCGTAGATTGAGCTAAATTCTTTTTTTTTCTTCTTTCGTACGCCTATATTTGCATGTCTTTCTATTAAAGCCTAAACAAATTTAAGTGCAAAATACTCAGCGAAAAGCTTTTGAACAAAAAGTCGTACGGAGCTAAATGCTCAATTGGCGTTTTTTGTTTTTGGTGGGGGCCCAGACCCGGGCTTTTGAAACCGGGGCCCAGATCTGGCTTTTGATCGGGCTTGGCTTTATCCTGGGTCATTATAGAAGCTGACTTTCAGCTTACGATTAGCTTAGTTTACTGTTGGATAGGTTTAAAAAGACAGAAAAAAGACAGGATCATTTCAATATCATTTAGTGCTTACAGCTTTACAGTTTTATTCTCAGCTTGGTTTGTAAGCTCTAGTTAAAGCTATTGATCTGCTCTAACTGGCCTAAATCTTCAAAAAACATAATCAAGCTAATTCTTCGATCTTTACTTAGTATCTTTTCTACTCACCCTGTCCGTCCACATCGATTTCTCTCCATCCAACTGCGCGTCCCAGCCGAGTTGCTCTTGTTTCCACGTGTTGGAGAAGAGCTCAAGGTACTCCTCGAATGGTTTCACCTAGAAAAACGTCAGTAAATAAATCTTTAGATGTATCTAGATCTTTATCTAGATCTTTATCTAGATCTTTATCTAGATCTTTATCTAGATCTTTATCTAGATCTTTATCTAGATCTTTATCTAATCTTTATCTAGATCTTTATCTAGATCTTTATCTAGATCTTTATCTAATCTTTATCTAGATCTTTATCTAGATCTTTATCTAGATCTTTATCTAGACCTTTATCTAGATCTATATCTAGACCTTTATCTAGACCTTTATCTAGATCTATATCTAGACCTTTATCTAGATCTTTATCTAGATCTATATCTAGATCTTGATCTAGACCTTTATCTAGATCTTTATCTAGATCTTTATCTAGATCTTTATCTAATCTTTATCTAGATCTTTATCTAGACCTTTATCTAGATCTATATCTAGACCTTTATCTAGATCTTTATCTAGACCTTTATCTAGATAATCCCAGCTATATTTTATTTAGTTTTTTTCATCTATTCACTCACCTCATCCCCGTCAGCTGGAACCTTCTTCGTCAACCAGTGAATCTGGCGCCAGTTCTGCATCCGCTAAAAAGGTTTGAATTTAAAGCAAATATATCTAGACTCAGCTATCTAAATGGTGATTTTTCGATAATTTTATTTACCTTAATATACGTTGGAACTGAGCACGACCATTGAACGTCAAAGCGCCACACTTTACCCTCGGGATCGCTGAAATTTTTCAAATTCTTTAAACACTAGATAATTTTAAATCTAAATTTGTATTTTTTAGATATTTAGATATATTTTCTATCTAGATTTTTACCGATATCTGAGCTCTTTGAGCAGTTTGATGTAAAGTGATGAGAAACGGTAATGCGTGGGGTTTGAGTCGGCATTGCTGTGCATTGTGTTGGACTTGGCACGGCCTGGAAACGAAAAGGATTACGGTAACAAGAGAAACAACAGTAGGGAGTACGGTACTTCCCTAGGGGATACGGCAGGGTCGGCTCAGGGGCTACGAGACTAAGCCTAAGCCAAGCCTAAGCCAAGCCTAAGCCAAGCCTAAGCCAAGCCTAAGCCAGCCCAAGCCTAGGCCTAAGTTTATTAAAATAAACATCATAGAAATCACAAAATCTCTCTCACCAGTGCTCGGCTCAGAGCAGCTTTCTCTTAAATGAATATAGCCATTCGGGCGAAGCCATCGCATGGCGCTCATCAAGAATTGCACGACTTCTTTATCACTCAAATACATCATCAACCAATTCGTGAACACAAGATCGACACTAGAATTGATGAAAGGGTTTTATTCAGGTTTTATTCAGGTTTTATTCAAGGTTACGGTATCTTTAAGGACTACGATAGCTTTACTGATTACGATAAAGCTCACCTCCCGTTCTTCATCTTTAAATTAACGGCATCACCGACTTGGTAATGAATGTTTCCGTGATGGGCGTTTCGCTCCTAAAATTACCGATTAAAGAAGAAAAAAAGAAGCAAAAAAAAAGCAGCAATTACTATTTCCTAGATGTAAATACCGTCACCCCTCGTTTTCTGTATCTTTACCTGATTTTTCTTGATGAACGACTCGATGAAATCCGTGGACAACACCCAGCGAGCCGTTTCCGCCAAAACAGTCGTGAAGCGGCCGATCCCAGCGCCCACATCGACGGCATCTTTATCCTTGAGATTGGGCAACGATTGCAAAATGTCAGCACGATCAGCTGCCTCAAGATCCTCGGCGTTGTGACTGGAAATTTGGACTCAATTTTCCAAGTCTTCAGCCTCGAATTCATTAGCGTCTTTTTGGAGAAAGCTTTCCGAAATTTCAGACTATATTATTGATATACTGAACAATTAAATGATTTAGGGAATTTCATAGAAAAGAGATGAACAGTTCAAAGATCATGAATTAGCCTGAATGAATCCGAATGAATCGAATGAAATCGATCGAATCGATTCTATTGGAGCCCTTATATTGGAATGATTTTTTTTTCTTTTATGGTTTTTCAAAGCGTGCCAAACCACTTGCACTTGCAACCGCATCCCCGCTACACCGGAGTACGGTAATTTCTGGAGTGGGTTAGTAGACAGCTTAGGTAGCTCTACGCTTGCTTTTGACGGTGAAGCGTTGACTGTTAAGCTAGCTTTTAGGCTTTAGTTAGTGATGGGTAGACAGCCGGGAGTCGAACCCGGGGTCAGGGCTCTTGTGAGCTGTAGACAAGCGCGCTGCCGACTGGGCCACAGCTCACGAATGTGCGATGGGTTATTCGGCTTATATAAACTCGTAGACAGCTAGAGCTGGGTTCTCTGGATCTCTGAGTTGTAGATTGAAGCCAGTTTTTTTGGCAGAGGATAGGATTGGCTATAGCTAACGAAACAGTAAATCTTCTAAAGATACTGCACTAGCCGTTTTCGAAAACACTAGTTTCGAAAGCATGAACCAGTTTACTAGTCTACAAAACTCCTCTTTCAAGCTACAGTAGGTGTTGGAGTCTATGCTGGCTACAATAGGTGCTAGAGTCTTGAAGTCTTGAAGTCTTGAAGTCCATCACGACGAAGTCTATGCAATGAACGCCTTTACATTACTCACTTTAACATCATAGCCGCATTATCGGGTTTATCCGAGTACTTGTCCCAGAATAAAAACCGTCAAAAAGACCGTTTTCCGTCTTAAAAATCTGTGGAATGGAACGGAAAAGACAGTTTTCTGGACGATACCCCATCCTTTTCATGGGGTATCCTTTTCAAGCTACAATAGGTGTTAGAATCTATGCAATGAACACCTTTACATCACTCACTTCAACATCATAGCCGCATTATCGGGTTTATCCGAGTACTTGTCCCAGAAAGATTTGAAATTGTCGCGTTTCACCTCAGTCAACATGATGCTGAAAGTTTGTAAAATTAACATAGAAAGCTAGCATAGAAATTAACATAGAAAGCTTAAACATAAAAAGAATTTATACAATAGGGTACCCTACAATAGGGTATCCTACAATAGGGTGTCCTACAATAGGGTATCCTACAATAGGGTGTCCTACAAGAGGTACAATTGAAATTAGAATTTTAAAATGACCAAATTCTTTTTGTACATTTGATAAATTCTCTCTTTTAAACAAAATTTTTTTTGTTTAAACAGCTTTGATGGAAAAATTTCGAAAATTCTAGAAATTCCTAGAATTTTCCAACAATAATCACTGACAAAATTCGCAATTTTTTACGAAAAATAAATAGATTTAAGAGATAGATATGAGAATGATTTTTTTTTATGATTTCTTGCGAACAATTCATGTTTTTTTGGGAGAAAAGGGTGATGAAAATTAAATGGAAATGACGTGAGATGAGAAAAAGTGAGAAATGAATGTGAGAAAACAAAAAAAAAAATGGCTCTTTCGAATAAGAATTTTTGAGAAAATCTATCTCTTTTATCCCTTTCTGTAGCCTTTTCTCTTTTCTATTTACTGTAATCTTTCTAGACACAAAGATAGAGCTGCTCTGGTCAGCTTTGAGCTGCTTTTAACTGGATTGACTTGAAGCCAGAGCCTTTCTCTTGACTTGGTTAGAACCGATCGAGCTTTAGTTAGGTTTAAAAAGCACTAAACTAGTACAGATCTGGGTCTAGCTTGATCTGGACCTAGATTACAGGATTACATTAAGCATTATAGCATTGGATTAAGAATTATAGCATTGGATTAAGAATTATAGCATTAGATTAAGCATTATAGCATTACATTAAGCTTTAAAGCATTAGATTAAGCATTATAGCATTACATTAAGCTTTAAAGCATTAGATTAAGCATTATAGCATTACATTAAGCTTTAAAGCATTAGATTACAGCATTACAGCATTACATTAAGCATTATAGCAGTAGATTAAGCATTATAGCATTACATTAAGCTTTAAAGCATTAGATTAAGCATTATAGCATTAGATTAAGCATTATAGCATTAGATTAAGCTTTACAGCATTACATTAAGCATTATAGCATTAGATTAAGCATTACAGCAATGGATTAAGCATTATAGCATTACATTACAATACAATTGCCTAGCTAGAACATCATTATTCACAAAAGTATTCAAAGTAAATAGATTTCTTAAAAGATTAGCTGTAGCTTTTCTGCGTCCCTTGAAAAAGCTTTGATCCAAATCAAAGATCAGCCCTCAATCTAGCTTCTAGACTGATTTAGTCCTTTCTCAAGCTAACAATAAAGCCGAATCCAAGCCAGGAGAAAGGTTCTCGCTTAGGCTTAGATCAGGTCAATCCAGTCAAATCAGGGACAGGCTAAAGTTTGGTCTATCTTCGTGAATGCATCTGGAATTCAGAATTCACCCAATTCAAATTCTTAAACAAAACTAGATAAAAAGATTACTATAAAATAAAAAAGCTAAATAAAAGTGTGATCGTGATTTTCAAAAGTGAATGAAATCTTTCTTTTAATCTCTATCATTCACCTCCCCAAATTTCCGATTAGACGATATCAATGGGGAAAAAAATGGAAAAGAGAAGGGTCAAATTGGGGGGGAGAGAACAGCTCTCTCTACAGCTCTCTCCGATCGCTTTTTGCCCTTTTCTTTTTCTTTTTTTCTGATTCTTTTGTTTCTCTTTTCTTGATGGTGGTCTGATGTTTGGGAGAGAAAAAAAAACGGGTCAGACAATATAGACAAAACGAAAAAATTGACAAAAATTGACAAATTGACAAATATTTTGGGGGAAACAAGAGAGAGAACGGGAATCGAACCGGCAAAATGTTTGATTAGATCTTTTGTACCAGAGAGACTGGTTTGATGAATCGTTGTACTTTGTGCAAGCGAACGAATCTAGCAGAATGGATTCGTAAATAAAGTAAAGAACGGAAGAGATTAGTCAAGAAGTAATGAGCTTTTTTTATGAAAAAGGTAACCATAACCATAATCAATCCAAAGCTCTCCAGTTATTTGATAATCTAAAGAAAACGACAACTGTTATGGGCTACAATAGAAGTTAAATAAGTAATTTATTAGTATTAGGATCTAATCAAACATTGTGCCGGTTTGATTTTCGTTCTCTCTCTCTTGTAATGGACCAATCAATAACTAATAAGCCTTTCTTTTTCTACAATTTTCTAGCCAAACCATAGATCTACTAATATTTCCGATATTTTACAGAAGCAATGAGCTTCTTTTATGGAAAAAGGTAACAGATCTTTCAGACAATATAGATAAACAAAAAATTGATTAAATATTGGGGGAAACAAGAGGAAAACGGGAAACCGGCACAATGTTTGATTAGGTCTTGTGTACCAGAGAGACTGGTTTAAGGCTGCTTTAAGGCTGCTTTAAGGCTGCTTTAAGGCTGCTTTAAGGCTGCTTTAAGGCTGCTTTAAGGCTGCTTTAAGGCTGCTTTAAGGGATCGCTGTATTTATTTACGAAATATTTTTTACTTACGAATCCATTCTGCTAGATAGCGTGCGTTCGCTTGCACAAAGTACAGCGGTTCCTTAAACCAGTCTCTCTGGTACACAAGACCTAATCAAACATTGTGCCGGTTTGATTCCCGTTTTCTCTCTTGTTTCCCCCAATATTTATCAATTTTTTTTGTTTATCTATATTGTCTGAAAGATCTGTTACCTTTTCCATAAAAGAAGCTCATTGCTTCTTGTAAAATATCGGAAATATTAGTAGAGCTATGGTTTGGCTAGAAAATTGTAGAAAAAGAGAGGTTTATTAGTTATTAATTCATTACTAATTACTTATTCATTACTTATTCATTACTTATTTAGCTTCTATTGTTTTTTTTATTTAAGGTAAGCTCAGACGAGGATCAGACTCTTGACTTGACGGTGGTTAGACAGGTATTTACTTTTTTTTAAAAATCAAATCCATGCCTTAAATCGGATTCAGATTAGCTTTTTGAAAAGGATTTAAAAGTCAGTTATGACCTAACTAGGAAGCGCTTAAATAGCAATGACAATGAGACAATGAGACATTGAAAGTGATAGGCTTTGTTTTGAGCACTCTGATTTATTGAGAGTAACTCTCGCCGGAGAACCGACGAATTTAACCCCGGATCCAGTATCACACAGAGGTGAACCGTATCCAAAGGCTCAGATCCAACTACGAGCTTTTTAACCGCAGCAATAATGACATACACGTTGAGAGCTGGAATTACCGCGGCTGCTGGCACCAGACTTGCCCTCTCATTGATCCTCGTTAAAGGGTTTAAATTGTACCCATTTCGATGATAGTAATAATAGGTTGATGCATAAGTCTTTTCGTTTTTTTCGTACTTCTGTTAAAAAGTAACAAATTCACCAATTAATCTATAGTTTGCTCTATAAAAAAAGTGTTTTTTTGTTCAATTTGCATCTTTTTAAATGAATTTCGGTTCACTTTGAAGCAAATTCGAGAGTGAAAAACGCCTTTTTCGTAAAAATCTATAAAAAACTCTACGGAAAAATTGGCTGAATGAATTTCTCTGAAATTTTGGCGAAATATGAAACGTTTTTTTTCTCTATCTTTTATCTATTGACACGAAGATAGGTTTTCTTTAGCTAAGGTGTCTAAACCGCATCATCAAGTTAGCCCTTTTTGACTACCCGACTCGTTGGGTGAATCCTAGCGAGTTGCCAAAGCCGGATCACTTCGGTTTCTCGAGGGCGCAAGATCACTTGCATACGACTTGATTGCTGGTCAAGGTGTTGTACTCAGTAGAGCAGTATAGCTGCGATCTGTTGAGACTCTGCCTATGATTGGTTGGTTTGTTTAGTCGTTAGCTGTTTCAACGTTTCGCGTTCTTCGCTTCTCTCACGGGTGCTTCGCGTTCTTCGCGCCACGCAAAAACACGCGGAACGTACTAGCCTTACGTACTAGCCCGTACTAGCCAACGTACTAGCCCGTACTAGCCAAACTTTTTTTTCTCTATCTTTTATCTATTGACACGAAGATAGGTTTTCTTTAGCTAAGGTGTCTAAACCGCATCATCGAGTTAGCCCTTTTTGACTACCCGACTTCATACTCTCAAGAAAATCCAGGCATTAAATATTTTTAAACCCGTTTTAATGTTATTTTGCAGAAAAATAATTGCTTTTTCTAATGAAATCAACCGTAGTTTAATTGGTGCATTTGTTGGCTTGAAACGGCAGACGAAAAGGAACAAAAACACTTATGCATCAACCTAATAGTAATATTAAGCTTACAAATACAGTAACCTTTGCAAATAAAGTAACCAAAAATAGCACTAATTCTAAGACAAAATCCATGGAAAGTAATCTAGAAAATCTAGAAAAGTAGAGAAGAGAGAAAGTAGATGATAGCTGGTTTGCGTTTGTCAGAGCAGAAAGTACAAACGTCAAGCTTCTTAGTACTTTATGTAACGTCAGTACTTTATGCTCCCCACAAAGACACGTTCTCTACGAAAATCGTTCCCATTTTATAGCCAAATTTGCCTACTGAGTCTGGTGCTTTTTTTTTTGGCAAAAAATCATCAAACATTCATTGCAAATATTGGTCAAACATGACCAAACCATCAAAATTTCTCAATAGAAATATTGACTCAAAGAACTTTTGCAATAGAAATTCAGCTGAAAATAGAGATTTGCTTTTTGCGATTTGCGAAAGTCTCTCAAATCCTCATGTTTAACCTCGTGAAAATGCGAAATGGTAAACACAGCTGGAGTTAGAAAAAAAGAAAAGGAATTGTGCCTTAAAAATCGGAATGAATGTTGTGAAAGCTGTGTTTGAACAAAAGTTGTGATTCAGTCCTTTTTTTCACCTTTAGCTATTGAAATCAATTAAAGTTGAGTAAAGAAAATCGATTGAATTCCATTATAACAAAGTTATCAAAGTTTACTTTCCTCAGTTTTGCGCCATCAAAGCAGCTAAAAAAGGAGATGAGGCTTGAGTAAAGTTTTGTAATCAACCAGCAAAATTTTAGATCATTATTCTATTAGGTTGTTCGGATATAACCAAGCGTTGCTAAACTTATTGTTGTGAAAGAAGCTTTTAAAGAAGCTCTTAAAGCGTTTAAAGCTTTTAAACAAGCTCTTAAAGCTTTTAAAGCTTTTAAACAAGCTTTTAAAGCTTTTAAAGAAGCTTTTAAAGAAGCTTTTAAAGCTTTTAAAGCTTTTAAACAAGCTCTTAAAGCTTTTAAAGCTTTTAAACAAGCTTTAAACAAGCTTTAAAGCTTTTAAACAAGCTTTTAAAGCTTTTAGAGAAGTCTTTCTGTATTTAAAAGTACGTTATCTTGTTTCTTATCTTGTTTTTGGAATCTTTTTAATTGAAATCTTTTTAAATGGATAATTTCTTATTTTTAAGATCTTTTTTCTTGCTTTAGATGACCGACTTCAAATATATAAAGTTCGCGTCTACTTTACTTATCAATAAGCCCACTTTACGACTTCAAACTGGGCAAAACAGTAGCGGAATCCCATTGAGATTTGGTCAAAGCATTTGGGAATGATGTTTTGTTTGAAAGCCGATGCCGAGCCTGGTTCCAACGCCTTCGGAATGGTGATGAAAGTCTCGAGAATGATGAACACTCTCGTCGACCTCAAACGGTAGACAACGATATTTTGAGGGCTGCAATCGAATCTTCTTCTGCTAAGCCATATGATTTAAGAACGCCGTTAACATCTTTAGTGATTACATAACCCGTGTGTATGTGAATTCTAAGCGTTACTATTAGGGACAATTTGAAAAGTTAAACCTTGCAAATTATTTAATGCCAGGATGACATCTCACTTCTTGCCATTTGCGTCAAGAAAGTGGGCAAGAGTGATGTTGTAATTCAAAGGATTTCTTACGACTTCAAACTAGGCAAAACAGTAGCGGAATCCCATCGAGATTTGGTCAAAGCATTTGGGAATGATGTTTTGTCCGAAAGCCGATGCCGAGCCTGGTTCCAACGCCTTCGGAATGGTGATGAAAGTCTCGAGGATGATGAACACTCTCGTCGACCTCAAACGGTAGACAACGATACTTTGAGGGCTGCAATCGAACCGGATCCTTGTCAAACGACGCGTGAACTTGCTCAACAGTTTCTAATCTCAACAGCTCAAATATGTTCAAATTCTACTCCATCTCTACGCCATTGGAAAGACGATCTGACGGCGGGAAATGGCTTCCTTAACTTAGCAGTTAAGCAGTGAAAACGCTCGTTTATATCCGAACAACCTAATAGATTGATTAGCGTTCAAAAAAGTCACAAAAATTCGAACTACATCAAGTGTTTGGCAATTTTTGTGTGTAAATTTAAGTAATTAAAGCGAAAACGGAATGAAAAGCTTTAAGCAGAAAATGAAAATGATTTGATAATGATAAGAAAGATTTCTGTGCAAAATTCGAGAAAATACATGATCATGATCAAAAAAAGACAAAGATCTGTGCTTGAAATTGAGATTGGAACAAAAAAAAAAGATCTAACCTCTGGCTCAAGTTAAGAAAAAAGTCAAGAAAGAGTCAAAAAATCTCAAAATGTCATAGATTTGATACTGAATTCTGAACAAATGCTGATTTGAAGTTGGGTAAATGAATCGGAGATTTAAACGCTAAGGAATTGCTTGAAGCTGAAGCTGCTTGAAGCTGAAGTTGCTTGAAGCTTCGATAGAACTTGAAGCTTAAGCTGGTTGAAGCTTCGATGAAACTTGAAGCTGAAGCTGCTTGAAGCTTCGATAGAACTTGAAGCTTAATCTGCTTGAAGCCTCAATAGAACTTGAAGCTTAAGCTGCTTGAAGCTTAAGCTGCTTGAAGCTTCAATAGAACTTGAAGCTGAAGCTGCTTGAAGCTTAGATTAAACTTGGAGCTGAAGCTGCTTGAAGCTCAAATGAAACTGGAAGCTGAGGCTGTTTGAAGTCTTGTTAACCGTAAAGCACCGTTTTTTAAAGCAAAAAAGTCTAAAATTAATGAAAAATATAAATAAAAAGGTGATTAGTGAAAAATTGATTCTTTTAGGTGATACAGTTTTGTTAAGTCTAATCAAAAAAACAAGGAAAGAATGAAAATTTTTTAGATTTTAGGAATAGGATACTTTTTGAAAGATTAGCTTTGTTATGAGCTCGTATTTAAGTAAATAAAATACCGTATTTTCTCTAATAGTAGTGCACCCTGAGCGTCGCCTACATTGCTCGAAATCTCGAGAACCGCTTATCAGAACCTATCGATGTGGGATCGGAAAATGCAGCTGACGATGAGATCTAGTGGGGAATTTGAGTGTTGAGCTTCTGTGAAAGTTTAGAAACGATAAAATAGTCATCAACTCGGCTCGCCGGGGTGCACTACTATTAGAGAAAATACGGTAGTCATATATGATGGCTAACATTGAATAATTACAAAAATAATGACAGATGCAATTAAAAATAAACAAATGAACTTTTAAAGCGATTAGAAATGAAATGAAACATGATTTGAAGAATTTTGAAGAAAAAAAGTGGGCGTTACGTGAAAATTCTCCAAATCTCTGTCATTTTTTTGATTTGTTCTATCAGTAATGGGCTGATTTGGTTTGCGGGAAATTGCTCTAAAAGAAATCAAAATAGCTTTTAACGAAAAAGAAAGCGTTTATCAATGAAAGAAAAGAAAAATCTGTCAACGACAGAAATTTTTTGAGAAAAAAGAAACTCATTAAAAGTTATTTCAAATCATTGGCAGAATTGGCAGCTAGAATTGGCAAAGTTACCGTAGATAGGATGGGTAAAGCATAAAGCTCTATCCTGGCGGCAATGGGATACGCTGGTAGCTCATTGGTAGAGTGTTCGCCCGATGAGAACGGTTGAGGGTTTGAATCCCGGCGCAGACTATGTTTTGTATTCCTAGGTTTCAACCAAAAGGATCAAATGGCCAAATTCAAATGGTTATATTACAGTAATCGAGAAAGAGAAACAATTCAAAGCATTTCCTAAAGCAGTAAAGGAGATTCAAGAGCAGAATAACTAGAAAAACTGGTTCTAGCCTGACTTCTGATTGCTCAAGAGTCAGAGTTAAAGTCGTCGGCCTGTTAAACCATGTTTACGTTCTACCGTTAGCCTGTTAAACATGGTTTAGCGAGCAATTAAACATGGTTTAACAGGCTAACGGTAGATGAAAATAAAACAAGCTTTAGAATATGACTTATTTAAAAGTAGCAAAGTATTGTTTACTATTACTATTCTGTCTAATAAAAGCTATAGAGCCAGCTTAATAAATGTCTAATAAGAGCTATAAAGCCAGCTTAATAATCTAGAGTCAAGCCAAGTCAAGTCAAGTCAAGCCAAGTCAAGTCAAGTCAAGCCAAGTCAAGTCAAGTCAAGCCAAGTCAAGTCAAGTCAAGCCAAGTCAAGTCAAGTCAAGCCAAGTCAAGTCAAGTCAAGCCAAGTCAAGCCAAGTCAAATCAACAGACCAGAAGGCTTACGGTAATCGGAAATGAGAAACACAGACAACGATTACGCTAAACCGAAAGATTTTAGAGTTTTATAGCCCGAGATCTAAAAAAAACAAATGAACCCGATTCTCTGCTCAGACTGATCTATTTGTCACCTATTCCTGTCTACATAAAGATATGAAATGGTCAAGAAAGCGTGGGAAATTCCCCATTCCCTATCCACTTTTATATAGCCTTTTTTTTTTTATGAGAAATGAGATAAAATCAGGGTTTCCATAAATGGTCTGATCTTCCCGATTTCCTAAAAAAATTTCCGGGCAAAGGTCGGAAAGATTTTTTTTTCTCTTGGTTCGTTCAAAGGACACTTTAAGAGAAGATCTAAAACCATGTTTAACAGGCTAACGGTAGATGAAAATGAAACAAGCTTTAGAATATGACTTATTTAAAAGTAGCAAAGTATTGTTTACTATTACTATTCTGTCTAATAAGAGCTAAAGTTTTAAAACGTTTTAAAAACTTTAATCAAAAATCCTCTTGCAATTGACTTTACAAGTAAAACTTTTAAGTATTGTATAAAGTTTTGCAAAGTTCTTTCACTTTTATAGAACACTTATGAGTCAGATGGAATGAGCGGCGGCGGTTCACTGGAAACCATCAACTTTAACTACACTACTGGACAATGAAATATCATATTTTGAAAAACGATCGTCACTTTCGTGCGTTTGTAACTCCCTTGTCTTTACCGTATTTCTAAATATTAATATTACCATCGTGTAGCCCTTGAAAAGAGCTTTCAGAAAAAGTATAACACTAATAGTTTAAACTCAAAGACAAGGGAGCTACAGACGCGCGAAAGAGACGATCGTCTTTCAAATATGATATTTTATTGTCCAGTACTGTAGCTACTAGCTAGATTAACTAGCTAGATTTCGAAGTAACTATTAAGTCTATTGAAGCTAGTTTTTTGTGGACCTTTATCCGAATTGACAATCATCTTCTCATCACTTTATTAATAATTTGCTAAGCAGTGAAGTTAAAATGTAGATCAGAAAGAATGTGTTTAGATGTTTTGGAACAGAAATTATGCTAGGATTTTGCTAGGATTCGAGTAAAAACGTTGTTTTTGTCGATTGTCGATTGTCGTTTTGTCGTTTTACTCGTCGATTGTCGTTTTTACTCTTCGAGTAAAAACGACAATCGAAATCGAGCAAAACAATAGCCTATAGTGTCTCAACTGTTTTTATTTAAAAACTTTATTTATCGAACTCACTTCTCCTCTTCAATAAGAACTGCATGGTGGAGTGGCTGTTGCTCGGGGATAGTCGGTGGCATTCTCAAAAAAACATAAAAATCTTGAAGATTAGAGAAGTGATTAAAGAAAAGCTTAAAGAAAAGCTTAAAGAAAAGCTTAAAGAAAAGATTAAAGAAAAGATTAAAGAAAAGATTAAAGAAAAGATTAAAGAAAAGAAAAGATTAACGAAAAGAAAAGCTTAAAGAAAAGATACGAGTAAAACGTTTTTAAAGCTTAAAGCGACTATTCCAAAGCTAATTTTTCTAAGCCAGGTCGATGTTGTTCGCTTCTGACCTGGTTTAACTTGAAAAAAATTTAGCATTTCAATATTTCTACTGGGCAAAGCCAGGCAGGTTTCAGAAATAAGTTATTTTAAATCAGCAGTAACAAGTTGAACCCAGGTCAAGTCAAGAAACTAAGCTACTAGCAAGACTAGCCAGACAGACTAGCCAGACTAGCCAGACATGAGAAAATCCCAACCCCAACCTAATTCCACCATCGTTTTCTCAGCCGATTCTTGACCAATTGCTCTGGAATTTTGTCTACAGATAGAAATCGACATTTTCAGCTTGTAGACAAAATTTCAGAGCAATCGGCCAAAGAAAAAGTCGAGAAAACGACGGTGGAATTAGGTTTGGCTTGGAATTTTTCGATTTCTACTAGTTACTAAACTTGCGCGGCTTTAAAAAAACATTTCTAGCATAGAATCGTACTGTAGAAAGCTGTGAAAAAAATAAATACAAATCTGGAGAAAGAAAAACGATAAATGCAACCAAAATGCCATAGCTCAATGAAAAATGATGTTGCTTGTTTGGTCTAATTTTCTCTCTCTCTCTCTTTTCTATTTTCTATTTTCTATTTTCAATCTATTTTCACTTTTCTTTGTCACTCATGTGATATTTGATATGGGAAATTCCCAAAATAGACGCATTTTTGGGGAAATCAAACCCAAATCAATCAAATCTTATGGGAAAAAAGATTGTGATTGATTGATTTAATTTGGTTCTACAGGGTTACCGCACAATTACCCGCATTCAATTCAAATTCTCTAACCTCTAGCGAAGAGCCAATCAATTCACCTAGTCAATGATAATGACCATTTCTTTTCTTCTTTTTTTTGATTATCAAATTGAATATCAAAATGTAATGTGTTTTCTCGGATTTGTTAAGAAAAGTTTTTACTTTTAAAGCGCTTGCAAAGTTGCGACACGCGGCTGGGTGCACTACTAAAATGATGATTGACTTCAATTCAAAAACTAAAATGATTGAGCCCTCGACCTTCCGCTTAAGAGACAAAACTCCTTAACCAATCGGCCGGTTTGTCTCTAATAGTAGTGCACCCTAGGCTTTGCCTAAATTCCTCGAAATCTCGAGAGCCGCTTATCAGAGCCTATCGATGTGGGGTCGGAAAATGTAGTTGACGATGAGATCTTGTGGGGGATTAGAGTGTTGAGCTTCTGGGAAAGTTTAGAAACCGTAAAATAGTCCTGAAATCGGTCAGGTGCACTACTAAGGAAAATACGGTATTCCTTGCGGCTGTTTGAATTTCCAAGAGTCAACGTGGAAGCTATTTCCAATCCTGGAAGCTATTTCCAATCGTGGAAGCTGTTTCCAATCGTGGAAGCTGTTTCCAATCATGGAAGCTGTTTCCAATCCTGGAAGCTATTAGGTTGGCAACTAAATAATGGCCCTCGCCCTTTTTTGATAAAATCTTTTAATCTTTGCGTTTAATCTACCCTCGCTTGTTGTTAATTGAATATTACTGAATTTCTGGTGCATTATTATACGTTTTTTACTTTCCTTGATTTGATACTTTTCAAATAATTTTGTTTAGAAATGGAAGATCTCAAATATCGAATGCGTGTCTGTCTCTGGTACGACTACAAACAAGACAAAACAGCTGCCGAATCCCACAGAGATTTATTGCGAGTTTTTGGTGATGAAGCTCTTTCCGAAACACAATGTAAGAGATGGTATCGACGGTTCAAGGAAGGGGATGAAAGTCTTGAAGATGAGCCTCGCCAAGGGCGACCCGAACTTCTGCAGAACGATATTTTGGAAGCAGCTTTAAAGGAGGATCCAAGTCAAACATCACGCGAGCTAGGGGATCGATTGGGCTTTTCGCATACTGCAATCGAAAAGCGACTTCATGCATTGGGGAAAAGTAACCGCAGTGGAAAGTGGATTCGCATGAATTGAGCGAAGAAAATAAGGCTACTCGTGTTATCACAGCTGGAATACTACTAAAACTTGCGAAAAAGGGAAGCTTCTTGGATTCCATTGTTACTTCTGATGAAAAATGGATCTTTTATGATAATCGAAAGCGAAAACGACAGTGGCTTAGCACAAACGAAGACCCAAAACCAACTCCGAAGCCGGATATTCACTCAAAGAAAACTCTCCTCTGTGTGTGGTGGAGTTCTCGTGCGTTGGTGCATTTCGAGGTTCTCAAAAAGCCGGCAAACGGTTAATTCAGAACTCTATTCGTCTCAACTACATCGTGTAGATCAAGCAATTCGCTCTCAAGGACTCGAACCCTCTTCAATTCATTTTCTCCATGATAACGCAAAACCACACACTGCAAAACTTACAATGGAGAAAATCGAGGAGTTGGGCTGGAATGTTCTTCCTCATGCGCCATACAGCCCGGATATGGGGCCTAGTGATTACCATCTTTTTCGATCGATACAACACTTTCTAGCCGAGAAAAAGTTCAATGACCTTGACGAAGTCCGAATTTCAGTGCAGAAGTTCTTTGACGATCAACCAGAAGAATTTTTCAAGAGAGGAATCCAGTTGCTCCGTCAAAAGTGGAAAGAAGTAATAAAGAATGACGGAGAATACCTTTTGGATTGATGTTGATATTTGTTCATCTTGTTAATAAATTTTTTGTTTTTACTGAAAAGGGCCATTATTTAGTTGCCAACCTGATATTTCCAATCCTGGAAGCGGTTTCCAATCAGGGAAGCTGTTTCCAATCCTGGAAGCTATTTCCAATCCTGGAAGCGGTTTCCAATCAGGGAAGCTGTTTCCAATCCTGGAAGCTATTTCCAATCCTGGAAGCTATTTCCAATCGTGGAAGCTGTTTCCAATCATGGAAGCTATATCCAATCGTGGAAGCTATTTCCAATCGTGGAAGCTATATCCAATCGTGGAAGCTATTTCCAATCGCTGATCGCTTTAAAAGCTGTGCTTCAACAATCAACAATTCTGCCAAAAAAAGAAAACACTTTGAAATGATGCATTTAAATGCAAATTAAAACGATTTTTTAATTGTTTAATTACATTGGATTCTAGAATACAGATTTTTGAATAATTATAGACAAAACTAGTGGAAAGAATGAGCTTAACTTTGGATCAAGTGACACAGAAACAACAGAAATTTTTTTCATAATTTCATTCTTGAAAAGATTTTCTAAAAAGATGAGATAAGCCTCTAAACTGAATAAAAGGAAAAAAAAACTTGAACAACTCAAAAATAATCATTTCTTTTCAGACTGTAAACAAATCAAGCGAGTGGATGTGAGAATAACAACGTTTTCTTGTGAATCTTTTCCTTTTTTTCTTGAGAGAGACTGTTTATTGAACTGTTCACTAATGTGTTTACATGAAAATTCTTTTTTTTATTTGCTGATCAATGAATATCAATGATGAAAATGCACAGGACCAGAAAGATTATTTGCAAATTTGTTTGAAAGATTTCATGAGCACAAAGTATCTCCTTGGGTCTATCCAATGAGCTCCTTAAGAGCTAAAGTAAGTTAGATATGATCTAAATGTTGCATATCATTTATCATATTCTCTCCAGCGTGATTGAACCCTCGACCTCGATCCGCTTAAGAGACAAAACTTCTTAACCGGTCGACCAGCTGGCCAAGTCCCGTATTCTCTCTAATAGTAGTGCACCCTGAGCGTTGCCTAAATTCCTCGAAATCTCGAGAACCGCTTATCAGAACCTATCGATGTGGGGTCGGAAAATGTAGCTGACGATGAGAGCTAGTTGGTTTTTAAAGTGTTGAGCTTCTGCGAAAGCTTGGAAACCGTAAAATCGTCGCCAACTCGGCTGGGTGCACTACTATTAGAGAGAATACGGTATTTGCTCTAGATCTATCAATTCTCTCAATCAACTACCAATGTGATCTATCAATCAACTACCAATGTGGCTGACGCTTCTCAGAACCTATCGATGCGGAAAATGTAGCTGACGATGAGATCTTGTGGAGGAGCTGTTATTTCTAGAGTGTTGATCTTCTAGGAAAAATTGGAAACTGTAAAATAGTCATCAACTCGGCTGGGTGCACTACTATTAGAGAGAATACGGTATTAACGTATTTTCGATGCTAAAAACACTACAACAATTGTCGAAAATTCCAGAGAAAAGCTGCTCAAAGATAAGAATTTTTTAACCAGTCTCAATCAAAAATTTGTAAAGCCACCGGATCTCCCGGGTCCACCAAAATATTTACCATTTACCATTCAGCAATTTTGCTAAACAAATTTAGCATAGAAGTTTAGCATTTACCAATGAAAAATCAATTTAACAATTTGTCATTTAACAACTTTGCTAAATGCTAAATACCAAAATAATTTTGTTAAATTTAGCAAAATTGAGTTTTGTTTCTTCTAGACTGAATTTGCTGATGCTAACATAAATTTATGTGCTCAAAATTGGCTAAACTTTGAATTGCTTTGTAGCCAGAGTATGTCGAAGTTCGACTCCGTCATTAGTTTTTTTGATATCTTTGTTCAGGGCAGAGATATGGCTTAATGAGCTGTTTTTTTTGTGTTTTTTCGGAGCTGGTGGCATTGCTAAACACTCTCGGAGGTGTTTAGCAAAAAAAAATGCTAAATTTTGCTAAATCTTGCTAAATCCAAACTTGCTAAATGGTGGTGGACTTGTTGAATTTTACAAAACAGAATTTTGCTAAGTTTAGCAGTTTGTAAATCTGGCCTTGATGAACTTGAATATTTGTGTTTTTAGCTTGCTGTCTGTGCAACTAATTGCCAGCCACTAGAGCCGAGGAAAATGGCTTTGAAATAT